TCATAGTGTATTCATGCGCAGAAACAAAAAATATGGTAAGAACCCAAATTTATGTATTATCTAACTCCATTTTAACTTAAACATATTTATAGACTGTTGGAGTCAGGGGTATTTCGAAACTAAAATACAGACCTTTCCCCAGTGAGTTTCCTCAAAGGTTGGAAATTAAAGGAAGGAAAAACGAAGGTAAAAAATGCGACCTGTAAATATTAAAAAAACAAGCACAACAAAATAATATTGAATCAAAATATTCAATCGATTAAAGACGGAAAATAAATAATCCCCTTATTTGAATGTTTACACAGATATATTAAATAAATAGTTATATACAAAAGGCAAAGAAACGATACAAAATGAAACAAGAGTATAGAAATTGACTGACATAAAACGCGAACACAATATTCAATGAAACAAATTAACAATTATTAATAAAACAAAAATGGAATCAACTTCTAAAATTGTAGATCAATAATAAGAAAAAATAAATAAATTAAAATACAATTTAACATCAAGGAAACCTTAAAAAAAAACTAATTTAGTTTGGAAAGAAATGAAGTAATTTTAATGTCTTTCGTGAAGGTGGAGGAATAAAAAATACGATCCAAGTTGGAGGTAGAAGCTCTACTCCCAACGAGGTTACCTTAGCTGATTCAAAACAGTCGATAATGGGGGGATCGATGTGCATATCGATCTCGATCGTCCCACAGCTGGGTTCTTCTCAAAATGGCGTAAGGCTGGTGCTATTTTGAACTCATTAGTTGTTTGTCTTAGTTAATTTTTTTTTTTTTTATTCATGATACTTACAACTGTATTAATAAATAAAATAAATTAAGTAAATTTGATAACAGAAAATAATAACATGAAATCAATTGTTGAGAAACTACCCACTGGTAGCACTCTAAAAACAAAATGTATTTACAATAAGAGATCTCGAGGCCATCTTCTTTTCAGACGCCTCGGAGGGTTATCAGGAATAGAAGAGGAAGCAAGGTTAGAGACGAGAGGATTCGGATGGTTCTGAAGTTTATTATGGCAGGATTTGTATCTGGATTGGGCCAAATCGGAAACATAAGGAACATTAAGGTCATTATGGATTATTTTATTAGTGACAAAGTAGGGAGTATTGAGGATTTTACGAAGGATTTTGGATTGTAAGGATTGGATGCGAGAGGAATTCGATGGTTTAGTGGAGCCCCATAGCTCAACTCCGTAAGTCCAAATAGGTCTTATTATAGTCAAGTATATAAGTCTTTTGTAATTAATGGGAAGTTTAGAGCGTTTGTCTAGTAAGTGCTGAAGTAATCGGAAACGTCGAGCGGTTTCTTGTCGTTTCAGTCTAGTATGAGGATTCCAAGTTAGTCGTTTGTCCAGGTGGAGTCCTAGGTATCGGATTTGCTCAACAGGGATAAGTGGGGTATTATTAAAGGATATTGTCGGATATGAGTAGTTAAATTAAAATTGGAAAGGTGCCTAAACAGCAAGAGTTATCCGAAGATCTGATGGGGGATAAAATCATTTCCTAGTCTAGCCTGTTTACCCTTTTGGTACTGTAATGGAGTGATATTTCCTCGGGCTCTCGAACAGAGATTGCGGTGTAATGAAATGAGACTATGGCTGCTCAGCATTACTTCAACAGGGTCTGAGCATCAATAGCGCAACCTATGAAATATTCCCATGAAATACTATTTATTGTAGTATGCTAATGCTTCTCACATGCATTCGTTTATAGATAGACATACTCATCAACGAAGTCTAAAACGTAAATTGCTAGCAAACGTTTTCATTCCGAGGTCTAACATTTTTTAAAAATTATTCAATAAATATGAAGCTTCCTTATCTCGAGAGGAAACAAAAATATGAAAGTAAACTTTGAACTCGTTTGGTTATAATAATCTAGTAATGCATAATCCATATGACTCTTCCATTTATACCCTTATCAAGAACATCTTATTTAAATTATGTTCTGGTCAGAGATGGTTTGTTCGATTATGAACTAAAATCGATTCCAGAGAAATGACTATTGATTTGATCATTCGAGATAGTTCTTCAGAGAAAACATAGTCGTAGAATACTCTGGTATTTTGTAATGGAGCGTAAATGGCTCATGGAGTTACATGGTAAATATCGTAGTTTGAAGCTTCCACGGAAGGATCTCATAAAGACAGCTTTAACCATTGCCATTGCCACAACTCATATCATTGCATCAACCATTGAACCACAGGCCTATATGGAACATGTAAAAATATATGTGAATGGATACTTCTCATTTGATTATTGTAGTGATGTTTTTACGTCTTCCTTTCCTGCTATTTCGGCTATATGTCTTTTGATAAAAAGAAAAAAGTTTTCTGAAATTGCTCACGATATTAATAAGATAAGTGCATTCTTAGGGACCCGAGATACTTCACGAAACAGTAAGAAATGGAACTGTCTGTTTGTGCTAGTTTTAATTCTGGAATGTGTGTACGAACTCAAGACCGAGGGCTACATAATGCTTTGGGCTCCATCGGTTTATACTTTCTACCTGACGATATTTCTGATTTGGCTTATTCTGAAGCAGTTCGCCGAACGCTTTGCTGTTCTCAGGTTCTACTACGGAGAACTCTCGGATCTCTTGAACATCCCGAGTGTGGAGAAAGAGAAGATTGTTAAATGCCACGAGGTTCTCGGTAGCTGTTGTTCAACACTGTGGGAATGTTATGTTCTGCAGATGACTATTTTCTTCCTCTTTAGCTTTGTACTTTCTGTGAGTGACATTTACTTGATGGTAGATTCTTACTCAAGAAGCGGTACTTTGACGACCTACCATTACATATATTTGTTTTGGACGGCTCTGAATTGTTTTTTCATCTGGATCATAGTATATTCATGTGCAGAAACAAAAGATATGGTAAGAAACGAATTTATCCAACTTTGGTATACCAGAATCAATAAAACTTTGACAGATTTACTGGTATTTGAAAGAATTGTTCAATTATCTTACAATAAGATAGAGGAAGGGGATGGTCCGGGGTGGCGGTCATGAAGAGACTAAAATAGTAGAAAAACTATTTTTAATTCAAGCCAACGTTTCGAACCAGCTTTGCATGTCTTCTTCAGGGCGGTGCGTTGAGAAAGGAGTTTCAGTTTTAACTGAACGTTTTAATTGAAAGTTTTAACGTACCTCCTTGAAGAAGATCTGCAAAGTCGTGTTAGAAATAAAATAGTTTTTGCCTAAAATTGTTAAAGAGACTAATTTTGGTCTCTTTATGACCTTTATCTCGGACCACCTCCTTCTTATAAAGTATGGAACTGTCAAACATTAGTAATGTCAACCAAGTAATCATTAAAATAATACAGTCCGTGGTACAGACCCCTTTTTATCAAGTAATTAATATCCTCCTGAAACTTTGTAAATGGCTTCATCTCATCGTAACCTACAAATATTTTTTTTTTATTATTTTTTTTTTCTGTTCTTCCCTACCTCGCCTTTTAGGCTATACGGGATTTTCCCGGATCAGAGGGTGAGGGCGGGGAATTTAAAATCCCTCTGGCTCCGGGACGCGAACTCGTGACTATTCACATATCATAGAATCATATATCCGGTTGCCGGGCAACGGCATTGCAGTACACACGCGTTAGCCCATTCGGCTACCCCGCCCTCCCAAATATTTTATTTAATAAAATTCTCGGGATTGGAGCTTTTTCAATCTGGAGGTAGCGTCTTAAGTGCAATTCTCTGTTCGCTATATACCTCTGATATTCCTGAGCATCCTAGCACCACCATCTATTGTTTCGCCGATGACACTGCAATTCTTTCTTCCCAGGAAAATCCTACTATCGCATCAATTACCCTTCGAAACCACCTCTATGATCTTCAAAACTTATTCGAAAAATGGAAAATTGAAGTTAATAGTAGGAAATCCACCCACGTGACTTTCTCTCTTAGGAAAGCCTCATGTCCACCCATAATCATTGACAATGACCTTCAAAAAACTAAAAGACTCACCTGGAACATACATACTAAACTAAAAAGACAAGAACTGACTAGACGATACAATAAACTCTCACATCTTCTGGACTACAGATTCTCACTTAATTTACGAAACAAACTACTGATCTACAACACCGATACCAATTTGGACATACGAAGTAGAACATTGGGGTTCGGCAAAACAAACACCCATAAATAAAATACAAACAACACAATAAAAAATTCTACTAAAAATTGCGCCTTAGTACAGTAAGACAGGTGCCAGGAAAATAGTGAATAATTACTGAGCTTTTACGAGTATATTATGTTCAACAATATACGTATTATGTTCAACATGCATGGGACTGTATAAGCTATACTTCGAATAAATCTATACACAACGACTTAAACATCCCAACTGTAATATCCTACATCCACAACAAATACAATTCATTTCATTCTTCAATTCTAAATCACATCAATCCTTTATATTTCCTGCTCCCTGTTACCTGATCGACGCAGACTGAAAAGAAAATGGCCAAGGGACCTACTCCTACATTAAAAACAAGGAAAAAAATAATGAAGTAAATTCGCAGATAATGACTAATAAATCAGATTTGCTAGATGCACTGTAGCGCAGATGCAAATTTCATAAATGTTAAATGTTAAAATAAATAAAATATTACACTTCACTAAAATCGTTTTTATATAGTGGAGAGAATCCCAATATTTCAATTTATTGAGATTGTTCTTAATATATTGAATTTATTCCTTATCTCGAGAGAAAACAAAAATAGGAAAGTAATTTGAACTCGTTTGGTCAAAATAATCTAGTAATGCACAATCCATATAGCTCTTCTATTTATATCCTTATCAAGGATTATATAAATTGTGTTGTCTTAAGAAAGTGTTTATTCGATTACGAACTAAAACATATTTCAGTGAAATGACTATTGATTATTGACCATTTAGGAAACGTCTTCAGATAGTAAACAGTAGTTCTGTAAGACACTCTGATATTTTATTAAAATACACACAAGTTTTTACAATGGAACGTAAATGTTTCTGTATCAAGCTTCCACGGACGGATGTTATGCACACTATTTTAGCGATTGTCTTTACTATAGCTTATATTGTTGTGGCAGCTTTTGAATCGCAGAACCACGTGGATAATATAAAAATGAATGTAAATGCATACTTCTCATTTGGGCATTACACCGATATCATCACGGCTTCCTTCCCCGCTATTTCGAATTTATGTCTTTTGATAAAAAGAAATAAGCTCTCTAAAGTTGCACAAGACATCATTAACATAAATGAATCTTCCGGAATGCAAGGGACTTCATGCAACAGTAAGAAGTGGCACTGCGTCTTTGTGCTGGTTTTGCTCCTGGAATATTTGTACGAACTCGGAAACGAGGGGTTTATCATGTTGTTGACTCCATCGGATTATACATTTTATCCCTCGATATTTCTGATTTGGCTCGTTCTGCGGCAGTTCGCAGACCGCTTTTCTATTCTCAGATTCTATTATGGACAGCTTTTAGATCTCTTGAACATCCCATGGGTTGATAAAGAGAAGTTGGTCAAGTATCATGAGGTGCTCGGATGCTGCAGTACAACGCTGTGGGAGTGTTACGCTCTGCAGATGACTATTTTCGTCGTCTTCAGTTTTGTACTTTCTGTGAGTTATCTTTACTTGGTGATAGATTCGTACTTAAGAAGTGGTACGTTGACGGCCTACCATTACGTTTATTTGTTTTGGCCGATTATGTATTGTTTCTTCATCTGGCTCATAGTGTATTCATGTGCAGAAACAAAAAATATGGTAAGAATCCGAATTTATGTATTATCTAATTTTATAGCTGCTTAAACATATTTATAGACAATGAGGAATATCACTCGCTTGCTGATTTATGTATTGAATACTGACCAAAACAAAATAACTTTTCTCCATGAGTCTCATAGTAGCTTTGGGGCTGTTGTAGGCGACAGCGAAGATCCTCTCCTTCCAGGTATCGTTGGAGCACGTGAGCGTTGCCATAATGCACTCCTTCTTCAGCAGGTACATCCCTGAAAGATGGGTGACGATCTTTTGCACCTATCTCCCGCCGTCATCCTCTGCAGCAAGAACTCCATTTTAAGCTACTTTCTTTAATCTGGAGTAGTCTCGAAGGCCAGCTATTCCTTTTCCTGATTTCATTGGGACACCAGCAAGGATTTGAACTTGCTTGTCCAATCTTCTCGAGAGACTCTAGTTTTCCGAGATGCTATATCTGCTTTTTCGTTCCCTTTAATCAAATAAGAAGGTGGGACCAAAATGAAAGCTGCATCACAGACTTTTTATTCAAAACGGAACAGGGTTTAGACAATCTAAAAAGGAACTGTTCAGTTTGTACAGGTGAGTCCTCACATTTAGATGCTTTAGTGTACATGATTTTGTAATCATAAGAAGTTGGTAAACCCCTCCCAAAGCAGAAGGAACAGTTTTTGGGTTTCTATCGAATTTAACAAGTCTTTGCAGGTCTTAACAAGTCTTAGAGAGCGGTAGATTTCTATTTTCATTGTAGTGCCACCATGGGGATTTGTAAATGTTTAAATAACATTCAATGGAATATATGTATATATTTTCGTTGAACGTTGAAACTAATTTAGTAACTCTTAGTTGCAGGGCATTTATTTATTTTTATTTTGAACCTAGCATCTAAATAGTTTAAAAGTAGTGTTATTTATTTTATTAGTGTTAGATTATCAGAGGCTGATAATCTAGGTGTTATGAGCCCAGAAAATGAAATAACCATTCAACCATCCAACAACAACCGACTTCCTTTTTAATAATTTCTGCGTTGCGTCTTATGATAAAAATAAAAAAGGTTCTAAAATTGTTTATAGTATTAATGTAAGATAAGTGGATTATCAAGAATGCGAGGGCCTTCACGCAACAGTAGCATTGTCTCTTTTTACTAGACTTTTGATATATTTATACGTTTTTGGACTCCATCAGTTTATACTTATTATTTGTCGATGCAATGGCTTGAACTGCCGCAGTTCGCCAACCGATGTAGTGTTCTCAAATTCTATTGTGGACGATTTTCGGAACTTATGATCATCCTCTGGGTGGGGAAAAATATCTTGGTAAAATTCCAAGAACTGCTTGGCTGCAGTTGTAAAACACTGTACTCGGTGGTAGACTGTTACTAAAGAAGTAGTGTTTTGGCGGCTTATTACGTTTATTTTTTTTAAACAAAAATGAACTGTTTTTTTTTCTCTACATCATAGTATATTCAACAAAAAATATGGTAAGAAGGAAATTTATCAATCTGAATATTTGCCAACATTGTTGTACCAATCCTAGTGAAAATATCAACGTTTGTTGTTCATATAATCTATTAATCTTCACTATATTATTACCAACATTAATAAAATATATTAAAACAAATATTTTCATTTCAAAAATGTATCCGCATTACATAACAATAAACTGTATTTTTTTAGTTATTGTAATATGTTTATTTTTTTCAGGCAAAGAAATTTGATAAGAAGTTAAGCCAGTTGATAATGAATGATGTCACAAACAAACTTATAAATAACGTAAGTAACGTTCTTCATGAGAAATTGAAACTTATTTTAGTAAAATTATCTTCCAAAAAATCCACTTTTCTATATTTTAACTTCTTTTTTTTAAGTTGAAACTTCTTTAGGCGCGTTTCGCACTTCTTTTGTGGAAAGTGAATTAGATTGAGCCGTCAGAACTCCAATGTGTAACGCTCGGATAAAGAACTAATCTACTAATTGAAGTATATGGATTAAAATATTTGAAAACTAAAAATAGGACCTGTTCCATTTCCCGAACGGAACTGTTCCAGATTATCGATACCGTTCCAATGCCATTACCCCATAATTCACAACCCAATTAATGTTGTGATCACGATTCATTATTGCAAAACGTATATAGACCGAAACTAGAAAAAAACTATATTATAAAAATAAAACATCTTATATTTCAATGGGAAAAACAAAATTAAAATTTATGGTCAGGATGGATACAAAATATAATAAATATAAAAAGATTTTTTTTTAAATAAACTACTAAAGAAAATGAAGTTGTATCAGGAACAGCACAAGAAAGAAAGAACAAAACTAGAGATAACAATCAAGAGGATTGTTTGATAATTCAGAAAACAGATTGTACATATTTATATATATATTACAAATAATGATTTTGATATCTAGTTCATGCTTCTTATTTATTTTTAAATGGTTTTTATGAATCTCATTTGAGAAGTAACCATGATTTTATTTAAGTAGACAGTCCAAGGAGAAACTCATGCGACTCTAATTTATAACTAATTTTGTTTTATAATGATGTAGAGATGGTTGACCGTTAATATAACATGAGAAGGAGTTAGTCGAGGGTGCGGTCAAATAAATAAAAAAATTAAAATATATAAATTATTTTAATTTTTGCCGACGTTTCGACCCACTTTGCTGGTCGTCTTCAGGGCTACAAAAGATACAAACATGTTGAAAAAATAAAAATAAAATAAAAAGTAAATATAAGTATATATAAAATACGAAGAAGTTGTCAGATACAGAAATAAAAGATAAAGAAAGTAAAGACATGATAAGAAAATAGATAAAAGAAAATAAATACATGAATGTTAACGAATAAATGAATGTTAACGAATAAATAGTTTGAAAATTGAATAACTATTGTTACAGTAAAGATAAAATAAGGATAAGATAAGATAATAATAAGATATCAGTGGATAACAAGCAAGTGGAGGTTACCTTTAATTGTAAATAAACAGATAACGGGACTAAAGGTTAAGAAGTGAAGAAATTGAAAGATTAATAGGGTAGCATTAGTGTAATATTGTTGGGATAGATTATTAAGTATAAATAACTCTATAAGAAAACAATAATTTTAAAAGAATACTTTAAAATGTAAGAATAAATGTAAAAACAAGGTTATGATGGTAAAGAAACAAAAAACAGGTTGTACTATATATAGATGACAATTGACATTTAGTTTTTTGAAAGCGGTAATGGAATGGTAGGCTGAATGAAGATAATAATAAGGTGTATAGTTGAAGGATAGGTGTGTTAATTGATTCCTTAATTCCTGATTAATTGATTCATTGATTCATTGATTAATTAATTATTTGATTAATTAATTGATTCCTGATTCCTTTTCTTAACACACCTATCCTTCAACTATACAAATTATTATTATCTTCATTCAGCCTACCATTCCATTACCGCTTTCAAAAAACTAAATGTCAATTGTCATCTATATATAGTACAACCTCTTTTTTGTTTCATTACCATCATAACCTTGTTTTTACATTTATTCTTACATTTTAAAGTATTCTTTTAAAATTATTGACCGCACCCTCGACTAACTCCTTCTCATAATTTTGTTTTACTTCATCATCCGGTGTTATTTACAAATATATACATGATATAGTATTTGTTTGGTATCCTACTAAACCGGATATATTCGTATTAGTAGAATATAATAGGTGACAACCAATCTGGATTCAGAAAAGGGAGGAGCACGCTAAACCATATCCTCATCTTAAAACAAGGACTCGAAAACGATGGGAAATAGCTCAGGACGTCCACGCCCTATTTGTCGATTTCAAAGCAGCCTATTGTAGTAGACATCCCCCTGTATTTACACCATTAGTTGACATTGTGTGAGGGAATGAGAAGGTATATATAATATATAGGAATGTGAGGTTACACTGTGAATTGTACTCAATTGTGCAGTGGGCAAATTGCTCATTGGAAAATCTCACATCGATAAAGAATCGAAAAGAAGGAAAGGTCCGATCAGGTAGCTGGCAACAGATGGCGAGGACGACGCCAAACACTCGAGGCCTGGACACCAACACAAGAAGACGTCATCTGGGAAGAGAGGCTTACTACATTGAAGACCAAGATTATCAAGCCAACCGTTCACTCATATATATTCATTTATGATCAATTGTCAAAATAAATTATTTTATTATACCGGAGTGAATAGTCATTTTATTTACTTGTTCTATAGGCCTCACAATTGAAGAATAAACCAGGTGAGTCAATTCATTCAAAGTGTTTACTAAGTCCCACATTTCATATATATATTCATATTGTTTCTTCTCACTCAGTGTCATAAAAGGTAATAGATCCCCGAATTCCCAATAACAGTTAAACACCCTCAAAAAGTCTATATCCAGTGCCGGGGTTTTGTTTTAAAGATTCACGAGTGTAAATAACCTTAAACCCCGATATAAAAGCGGAAGGCTATGCGCCTATTCCCGCCAAAACGAATCAATTACATTTAACTTACTGTAGGTTATTTACACTATGATTCTGTGGACAGGAGCTGTCTTTGAAAAATCATGAATGAACTGGGAATTGCCGGTAAGTTGGTGAGATTGACAGAGGCGTGTACAAAAGGCACCAAATGTAGAGTCCTAATACAAGGAGAAGTATCTGACTATGATAAAGTCATATCACCAATGTTGTACAACTTAGCCCTGGACCCTGGAGAAGGTAATAAGATTAATATCACAGGAAAATGGAAGGGTCCTTGACGGAATGAATCATAAAATCCTTGGGTACGCAGATGATTTAGCTGTCCTTGGAAGATATCCAGAAGACATTGAGAAACTCGCTACAACACTGATAAGAGAGGCAGAGCAGATCGGACTACAAGAAAACGAAGACATAACAAAATATATAATTAGCCGAAAATTTCACTCCAATAACAAGATCTGAGTAGAAGGAAAATCATTCCCGAGAGTGGAAAAATTCAAATACCTAGGTTCCACAATAACCTCAACGAATGAACAACGAGCAGAAATATACCAGTGTATAACTAGACCAAACAGAGCTTTTTTCTCCCTTTCAAAGGTATTGAAATCCAGAAAAATCTCAAGCAATCTCAAACTCAGGCTGTACAATGCTATGATAAAGTCAGTTCTAATAAATGGCTGTGAGACCTGGACACTAACCAGCACCCTAGAAAAAGTATTGAAAGATTTGAAAGGAAAATCATCCGCACCATAATCTGGGATCAGAGTACTAACACACGGAGAAGAAAGACCAATATAGAACTGCTTAAAGAAACTGGACAATCAATATCCCATGATATGAAGGCAAGGAGGTTAAGATGGGCGGTGGATGTAGCTCGCAGCAATCCATCTGGAAGCCTCTACGTAACAATGAATGCCTCAATAGAAGGCAATAGAAAACATGGAAGGCCAAAAAGCAAATTGATAGATAGAATCAACAAAGATGCAACAGAGATGCGTACAGATAACTGGAAAGAAAAATCCCAAGACAGGCAGAGATGGGGCAGGCTTGTTCAGGTGGCAAAAGATATATATGGTCTGTAATGCCAACAGAAAAAAAAGAAAAAAAGAATGTATGTATTTGTAAAGATTTTATAAGAAATATCGAAGGTTCCCCGGTTCCAATACAGTCCCATTGACCCATCTCTACCCAAAAGTAACCAGTAACAAGTATTACATTTCATGATTATTTTTTTTTTGTTTACAGAAAAGGATCATGCACCACTATAAAGTGAAGTTCAAAGATTTTTCCGCTATGGGATTTTTCAATTTCGACTACCCTCTACTCTTTTCGGTAAGGTTTCTCTACAAAAATATTGAAGTAGTGGATTGCATATCATGTTAATCCATCTATCTTTTTTTTTTTTTGTCAATACAGATGGTTTCCACTGCTACTACCTACATTGTAATTTTAGTCCAATTTTCTGGAAGAGATGATTCCCAATGAAATAAAATATCGATAGAACCTCGCACAAAGCTAGAAATTTAAAAGTTAATGATGTCTCAATAGATGATATATATTTTGTTAAGTAGTGCTTACAATATTATTATAAAATAAAGTATTGTATTATTAATATCAAAGTATTGCATAATCACTCTCCTTTTAAATATAGTAACAACACAAGCAATTGAGAAGTTGATATTAAGAATTCCTGAATCGATATTGCCAAAACTCGATATTGATTAAATACTCCCAAAGAGAAAGTTCCAAAATTCGGCGTTAATTCCTTGAAATTGATCAATTGATCGATGAATCTAGGATGAATCGATGAATCTTCCCTGATGGACACCGATTTATGCTGAATTTATAAACGACCTGCTGGATTCCAGAGGTCCAGATAACAACTCGTGGAGCATGCGTCAGACGAAGGTGAACAAAGTGCATGTTCAGATAAGAAAATAACGCGGTTGATACGAAATGGCTCAACAGAATATATATACGGAATAAATTGTTAAGGGTGGTATCAATATAATCCACTATATTGATCCAGCTTTATATTATAGCTCAATCAGCTGACTTCCCAAAGGCGAATCCGTTGACAGTAAGTTGACGCTAAGGTTTTTGTTTGTGTTTTTTTTTTCTTAGCCATCTTTTAATTTATATATATAAACTAACAAAACAAAATGAATTTGTTATAAAACGGATTCGAACATTATCAATCGAATTCATTTTATTCCAGCCAATAAATGATTACAGAAGGAAATGGTGGGGACACGATTTTTGACTTTAGGAGATTGTTTGGACGAGTAAGGAGGTAAACATACTACCCCACTCCTAGGTCACTTTTTCGAGTTTTCGCTTAAATCAGGAAAACTATTCATCGCATCGACAAAAATATTCAATACATTTTTTTTTTTTTTTTTTTATTGAGTATTATAACAATCTGTCTGTTGGACATTGGTTATAGTGAGGTAGGATGACATTCACACCATATGTACAAAAAAATGAAATAAATAGAATAAATACAAAATTAAAGCTGATAAAATTTTCAATACGATTGATTATATATTTTTTTCGCTACATCGCTTAGTTTCCGAGATATCCGAACACAACTATCGCTAATTTGGAAAAATAAAATTTTTATCTCATGTTTTTACTGTATTTCATTAACTAATCCTTTATTGATTCGTTCAACAATGGAGAAGAAAGTTTTGAAAACATGACGTAAAAATTTTATGTTTCCAAATTAGCGATAGTTAAGGAAAGATATCTAGAAAATTAACGTTTTTTCGATGCTATGGGTAGTATTTCCTGATATAAGCGAAAACTCCAAATACAGCAGTAAACATGAAGTAATTTTTTTTTTTCAAAATCATCCTTAGTTGAGGACGGATATCTCGGAAATTAAGCTAGGTAGCGAAGAAATCATATTGCAAATTTTTTCAGCTTTAATTATGTATAGAACGCCTTTATCGATGCGATGGATAGATTGCCTGATTTAAGTAAAAAAACAAAAAAACATTTACCTCTAGGCATATTTTTTTTTTTTTTCAAATCTGGCTCACAACTTAGAAGTGAGGACAGTTAGTATAGTTTACCTCCTTACTATTCCAAACAATGTTCAAAAGTCACAAAATTGTGTCCCCGCCATTTCCTTCTATACACCTTTTTAAACTATTCATTGACTGGACTAAACAACAACCTTCCCTTCATGTGTGTTATGATGAGAACGTATTTTGAAAGACGAAAAACAAAAACATACTCATCAGGAGAAAGTAATTACTATCGATTTCATTCTTTCTAATGGCTTTTCAAAATTAATTTCAGTGTACAATACAGGACGTGAATACCATGCCGCCTAAATGGCTCACACATTTACTCGAGAAATATCGTAAAGAGTATATTTGCTCTTGCGAGCTTCCGTTGATGGATTTATTCATGTTTATTCTAAAAGCATCCATTGCAATAATACATATGTATTTGGCAATTTTCCGAAGCGATGAGCATACTGAGAATTTACAGCAACAAGTAAACGGGTTCTTCTCTGCGGCTCATAGCATTGACATTCCAACATGTTTAATTCCAGCGTTTTCGGCATTATTCCTCTTGATTAACAATAAGAAGCATTCGAAAATGGTTAATGAAATCAATACGATAAGTAAATCATTAGGAATTCGTATCACTTCAAACTATAGTAAGAGATTACAATATATATTTTTAACTGTTTTACTTTGCGAAATTATCTGTGAGTTGAGAAACGAATGGCATCACATGATTAATACTGCAAGTGTCTATACTTTTTACGTATTTGAGTATCTGAAATGGCTTGTCGTATGGCAGTTAGCACAACAATTTCATATTCTCAGATTTTATTATGGACAAATTTCGGAACAATTGGACATCCACAGAGTTCAAAAGTTGATCAATCATCACGAAATGCTCAATTTCTGTTGCACAACATTGTGGGAATGTTATAAAATACAAATTTCCATACTTATCGTACATATTTTTATTAGTTTTGTGTGTAACATTTATTTGGTGATAGAATCTTATTCAAGCCACGGGATTTTGAATACATATCATTACATTTACTCATTTTGGGTTATTTTATATTGCTCTTACATCTGGCTCATAGTGCACTCCTGTTCAGCAACAAATAATATGGTAAGAAAGTAGTAATTCAAATATGTTTTATTGTTATTATTTATTTATTTATTCATGATATTTACAATACAATATTTTCAACGAGACAGACACAAATAACAACATCCAAAACAATAATCCACAAATAAGGAAAATACACAAAATTTAACAAAATGACATACATACCACAACTTAAAAAACAAATTCAAAAATCTGGTGCGCTTAACACACAACTTTCACTTACCGATCTACTTTGAATAGAAATTATTTTCTGGCACTGCTGGGCTATTATAAAAATTTTAGAAGTGCATTTTAAACGGAGCTAAAGCTTAAAGCTTACAGATAACAAGTCATTACAACCATTATAATTACAAAATGTCTATTTAATATATCGATGATAGGTAATAAAAATCTAGTCACTCCATCTGTTTTTATAAACCACACGACTTTATTTGCTTTTATAAACCACAGAATGACTAACTCCAATTTAAACATTTTTGAGTGATGTCATTTTAGTGATATTTTTAGTTGAAAAAGTTATCTATGCAGACAATGAGTAAGTTGATTCCAGAGGTGGTGATTGCAGTGTTGAAATATAGAACTGAGAATAAAGGTATAAATTTAGGTACTTATTTCTTATGAAAGATGTTCTTAGGAAAGACACTTTATTAAATATCTCTAGAAAAAAAGTTTTTTTAGTCTCAACAATTAAAAAAATATATTTTAAATTTATCCAAATTTTTGCCTCTTCAGGGAAAAAAACTAAAGACCATATCTTTCCTCCTAATTGTCCGATTTTAATGATTTTTTTTTAAAGAAAATTCCATAAACTTTTTATAAAACATGATATTAAATACCGCTTAATTATACAATGATACACCGAGTTTGATCAAAATCGTTAGAGCCGTTTTTGAGAAAATTGTAAAAATGTGTTTCAGCGTTCATATAAAGTGGCACTTTAGGTTAGCCGATTTTAACGAAAAAGTTGCTGTCACATCCGGCTCATATACAAACCTTAAATATTTAATATCAGTTTCGTACTACTTTTCGTTTATGAGCTAGCTAGACTGTTAACATACACACATACCATTTTGCGACACTTGGTTATTTGAACTCAGGGGACCTCAAAACATGTATTTCGTTGAAAACTGAGATTAGAAAATTTTTACGATCGCAATACTTACCCTTACTATATATTACATATATACGTAAGTGAAAGTAAAAAGTATTCATGAACTATGACCTACCGGAAATTCAGTTTGGCATATATAACGACAAAAAATTAGGTAAATACTTGAGTAACACAAAAGACAAGATAGAACCATTGGACAAGAAAAATGTTGTTTATAAATTAGACTGCCAACATTGCCAACAAATATCTATATAGGTGAAATTTCAGAAAAACTAAAATTTAGAATAGTATAACATACATCAAACTGCAAAAATAATAAAAACATTAACATAACAGCCCTAGCAAACCAAAGTATTAAATCACTACACACGTTTGACTTCAAAAACCCAGAAATATTAGCAATAGAACCAAAAACAAATAATAGGAAACTGCTGGAAGCTATCCATATAACAGGAAACAATACTAGAACAATAAACAATAAAACAGATACAAAACATTTAGGTACACACTATTCGGACATAATATCCAATATTGAAATTTAAAAAACAACAATAGCAAAAAAAAAAAACACAACAAACAGCCATAATAAGAAATAAGAGGACAGGTACAAAGTACAGAGATAAAACTAAAGATAGCCAGATGTGATTAGTGTATCAATGGATATGAAAAGATGTATAACACCAAAAAAAAATTTTCAAAATGTGACAAATATTAGACTTTTGACAAATGGTACCACATCAAAAAAAGTTAATATAAAATGTGCATAATTTCAGTGAAGATAAAGATTGCTCTGATGATGGGAAAATTGTCCCGAAACGTTAGAGATAACAAATGTAATTAAAAGAATTGGAAGAAAATTGGAAGTATTATTGCCTTAAATATGAAAAAAGATATTTACAACTGTATTATATTAAAAACATATCTAGTAAATGTGTACAAAGGAATATAACATAAAAAGGCTTTTGGAGAAACTACTCACTGGTTGCACTCTAATAATATCGAAATCACGAGGTCATCTTCTTTTCTTGGATGGTTATCTGGGATCGAAGAGGAAGCAAGGTTAGAAATCAGAGGGTTCGGACAGTTCTGAAGTTTATTATGGAAGGACAGGTATCTGGATTAGGCTAAATTGGAAAACATTAAGATCGTTATGGATGATTTTATTGGTGACAAAGTAAGGAGCATTGAAGATTTTGGATTATAACGATTAGATTCGAGTGGAATTCGATGG